GCACAATTATTGAAAATTTTTCATCTTTTATTGTTTTGTCTTGCATGTTGGCACCAATTTTTTTGCATGATGCATGTTGAAATATTTTCAGTGATACAAGAGATGATAATTTTAAAATGATCGCATCAGCACATGCACTATTTTCGATGTTAGCTAATGCAACCAAACATAGTCAATTATCAAATATCAGCCAACATTTATCACTACAGCATACCACTCAACAAACGAAGAAAATTATCAATGATACATTGCACTTAATTAATAATACTACTGATGATATTAATACTTCAACAATAAGGCTGATAACATCAACACTATCAACAACAATAACAGCGACAACAACAACAACAACAACAACAGTATCAGCAGCAGCTACAATAACAGCAATAACTTCTCCATCTGTTATTGATACTATTATTTCTACCTCAACAATAACAACAACTGCTACTGCTATTACTACAACTCCTACAACTATTGTTACTCTTACTACTATTACAAATGCTGAAACTGTTAACTGGAAACCTGATAGTACAGCTGATGAATATGATGAAAATACGAGTAATATTATTAGTCGTTCAAGAAGTTCAACGAATTTGGAATTTGCAATGTCTACTTCAACTATGAATAAAATTATACCAGACGAGATTATTAATAGGAAAAGTTTAAAAAAATATCCAAAAGTATTAGATGTAGCAACCATCGGCAGAAGTGATATATTTCCAGAAGTCACTTCGGAAATGTTGAATAATATGACAACAACAACAACAACAACAACAACAACAACAACANNNACAACAACAACAACAACAACAACAACAACAACAACAACTACGGTTCAAAGAGGAAATGCTTCTTATAGTGATGTTACACTGAATGAAATCGAACGTAAATATTTATGATTTAGAAAAATAACAATAAAAACAAAAAAAAAATGCTTCACATAATAATTTATTTTAAACTTTCTTCAAACTTCTTTTTTATTAAATGTTTTTGACAAAAGATTTATGATAAATTGAAAATTTTCTTAGATGACGAAAATTATGCATAGTGATTTTTTTTCTTACAATTATTAAGAAATGTTTTAAATTGATTGTAAGATGAAATAAGTTTTAGCAATATAAAGTTTAAATTGTGTTATTATTCACATTTTTTTCCATCATTTTTTCATTTTCTTTCAACTTTTATCCCTTGTTTCAAATTTTTTTGTTAAAAAAATTTAATTTAAGCATATATTGTTACAGTAGAGAAGATATCCTTTGTTAGCATGAAAAATTTTGGTGCGAAATTTAAATGTTCTTTTTTTTGATTAATTAAAATTTAGAAAAGCACGAAAGCACGAAAATTTCACCTATCAATGAAACCAAAAATCCATTTTTGGGGTCAATTAGTAGCACTATGTTTACAAATTCACATATCACTTTATTGGTTCCTGGAAATAGCAATATCACAAGCACAATATTTACTGATAGTAGTAGTACAATCAGCACCACCGAAGCATTTCCAATCACTTATGCAAGTAATGAAATTATCCATCATCAACCAGTGTAAGTATATCACTATTATTTTTATCTGATTTAAATTTATAAAACCTTTAATTAATTTAATAACGAATATCTTTAAATACAACAATTTTGTTCGAAATTTTATTTGGAAATTTTAAAATATTTATCAAAATTTACAATATGTTGAACATTAAAAAGATCAAGAAATTATTCCGCCAACTTTGTAAATAGAATCATTGACTGATTGATTTATTGTATACTTTTATACTAAATTTAATTTCATTCAAATATTTTAATTCACTAATTGGATTAGGATATTTTAGGTACAATACGATAATGGCATTTACAAATGTAAATGATGTGACAGAGACATTTTCATCAACATTGCCAACAACGATGAAATTTGTCGTACCAACAATATTATCAGACACTGAACAAAATTCAGGAAATGCAGAAACTCTATCTTCATTATCATCACCATCATCATCATCATCATCGTCATCGTCATCATTATTATCATCATTAACAACATCAACAGAAGCAACAACTACAACTATGGTTGATACTATTACAGCTATAACAACAATACCAGAAACAATAACAACAACAACAACAGCAACAACAACAGCAACAACAATAACAACAACAGCAACGACAACAGCAACGACAACAGCAACGACAACAGCAACGACAACAGCAACGACAACAACAATGACAACAATAACAACAACATCAACATCAACAACAACAATGATGCCAACTGAAACAACAACAATAACAGCTGAAACAACAAAAATGATTGATGAACATTCAATGATTGCAACATTACCAGTACCATTATCCACTGTTGTTGCAGAAAATGATAATAAAGTTTCAATTCAAAGCGTAGCAGAAATTGCTTCAACAAATGTAACGATCGGTTCATACAGGTAATTTCCAAGAAAAAAAATTTCAAATTAAATAGTCTATAATTTTGTATTTTGCTTTACTTTTTCCATCTAAATATAATACATTCATCATTTTTAACGTGAATTTTTAGCGTAAACAAATCATTGCCATATGTGAATGGAACAGAACGAGCATCCAAACATGCAGTTATCTTTGATATCTTTCATAACGGACAACCAGTTCAAGCGGTAGTTGTTGGGAGTAAAATTACACTTAGCTTTATTCCCTATTTTGCTATTCCACGTACGTTTTGTGGATTTTTTTTTTCGTCACACTTCATTTCATTATTCAGAGTAAAGTATGAACAATTAGCAAAGAATTTGTTTTTAAAATTTTTCATCATCAAATTTTGTTGAAATATTTTAGCGATATATATGAGTATAAAGGGATGTCAAGTTGAACCGATCGGATCACTTTATGAATGGGAACGTGAACCGTTAGCAATAATTAAGGATGGCTGTCAAGCGGATCATGTTGGTCTTGTTTGTCCACCGCAAAAGACTGAATATGGTATTCGAGTAACGGTTGAATCATTTCGATATCAGACAACATCACAAGTACAATATTCCTGTCTTATCAGGATTTGCCCCTTCACACCATGTCCAATGGTAATGCTAATAAATTTTTATTAATATCCAATAATTTTTAATAAATTTATACAAATTTAACATAATCAAATTTGTGATAATTAGTTAAGCAAAAAAAATAATATAGGAAACGTGTGAGGAAGTAGAAGGTTGTGGTAACTCAAATTTGCTATCTAATACGTTCGGGTTACGTTCCAAACGTCATATTACAATCGAAGAAATACGCGCAGCACTAGCAGCAAATCCTGACTTACAACGGCAAATACGATTGATGAACCGTTTTGGTACACAAAGTCAAACAACATCAGGTACTGCATGCTAATATTATCAATATTTCGTACCATTTTTTGTTTTTATTACAACAATTTTTCCGTAACAAATCAAGCGCTTAGTCTAGACAAGGATGTATAGTTTTCTAATCTGAAACTTGACAATATTGCTCTAGAAGTTTGACCCTTAACACTGATTGTTCAAAATAGATTATTTTTAAGACTGTATAAAATATGACCTTTGAGATTATAGTTTCTTCGATCATTGTCCCATGAATTGATCCTAAATTTATGGCTGCCGATGCATTTTCTAAATCTCTCCCGCACTTGATAATTAATGATGTGTTCCGACGATAATCGATGATAATTTAGAAACGCAACAACAATTGATTGAACTTGGAGGCGATCACATTGTTAAAAAACAATTAGTAGTTGTGAATTCCGAGGATGAACTAAGATACTACGTACGGACAGGTGATGTACCTTAATCAAATGACAATACTGTTATTAAACATATAAATTTCATCACATTCCATTGTTTATTCCTTTTAATAATTAATATTAAGAGTAATTACTAGAATTGTGATGAAAAATTTTGGATAAGTCCACACAAAACTTATGCAAGTAACCTATATAATCTATGCTTGGTAAAGAATAGCTCAAGCATTAACTGTATTTGGAAACAAATAATCTAATCTGTTTTTTTTTTCAAGAAAAAAACCTAACTGCAAGAATACAACAGTAAATTCTATTAAATGTACAGCATTTCAACAAATAATAATTCTTGCTGAAGCGTGACTTTAAGGTTTAAATGCCTAAATTTGAGGGCAATAAAAATTGTCATGCACTTGTTGGTCCCAAAGTCCAAAATGTCGAATATTGCGCAAAATTTAGCTCTTGTTATTGTAATTTATTAAGTTTTTTTTCTTTTTTGAAGGACAACTACATTTCATTAGTAATGTGTTAAAAGCTATGATTGATAAGTACGTATCATAAAATACCACACTTAACTCTATCACCTTCCGGCTTTCGGGTATTTATGTTTATTTGATCGTTGTTTTATAGTAAGTCATTTTGTATAAAATAGTAATTATCTTATTAAGTGATGCAAAATAAAGATGATAAACTTTATGGAAATATAACTGTCCCGCAATAAACCACAGCTACATTAATACTTTTTACACAGGAGTACAAGAAATAATAAAGAATGCATCGTTGCTATAAAAATTCATGAAACTACTCGTTAAAATCTAAAACCGACAACAGTGAAATATCTACATAAAAAAAATAATTGAAAATCTTCCGCAATTTCAAGAATTAAGGGGAAACTTTTAAGTTATGCAGTCATAGAACAATAAAATGTTAGAACCCTCTAATATATTGTTTTTTTTTTTAAAAAGCATTCGATAACCGGTAATGTACCTCATGTACAAAAAAACTAGACTGTTATAATTTCGAAGTAGGCAATTTCAAACCAACAAGTCTGGCACTTTCTTCTAACGAACGTTCACCGCCCTAAAATCGAAAAAAAAATTGAAATTTAACATTCAATACCTTAAAATTGAAAAATAATTCTCATTTGATAAGCAATTCCAACAAATTCAAACAGAAATTGTGGTAGTAACGCTTAAGCAAACATTGTTTTATGTTCCCATCCAATAAAAATTTTGCAATGCAAGTTGTCTTCAAAATTATTTCACAATAAATGTTCCTCATAAGGTTCAAATAAAAATAAACTAATTTACCTTATAATATTCCTGCAATGTTCTCAAGCGCATTGTACTGGCCAGGTAATGACGGTATGTATTAGAAAGATGTTCTTCTCTTGGTATATTATGTAACATGCAATTCTTACTTTGCTCGGTGTTTACTTTCTGTTTCTGCATTAACTGCATTTTCGAGTTTTTCCAAGTAAAGTCCTTAAATATCAAAAACACCAAAAAACACTCTGAAATAATCCGGAATAACAATAAGTATGTATTGAAACACTCTGAAATATACTAGGAAACTTCAATATATTAAAATATTCCGAAGTATCATAAAATATTCCGTAGAGGATAGCTTACGATTCCAGATTTACGGAAATCTTCGATAACATGTCTGATCAATGAGGCCGCTTCTGTTCCATTCTTCCACTTTGCCATATAGTCTGTCACCTTTTCGTATCAAATCTGAAATTCTGAACTTTTCAAATAACTATTCGAAATTAAATTACTGAAGTATTGATTGAAAATGAAATTGTTAAGTTAAAATTATCATTTTTGAAAAGAAAAAAAATACAAAAGTCGCGATTTGAAAATCAACCTGAAATTAAACTGCGCAAATTTACAACTTTATCATTTTCTACAAAGTAACGTACGCTAAAAGCGTTAAACAGACACGATAAAGACTATAACTATTACTGTTTAAAATTAGAAAAATTTGCAACACTTCGCTTGAGTTCGAGCCGTTTAAAACATTTCACGACTAATAGTGGTCGGACCGCGAAAAAAAGAAATTTCAATTTTTAAATCTCATCTTAAATATTTTTGGTCTTCCTTGTTTACACTAATCTAATTCTAAATAATTCACGTATAGCTTTTGTAGTTGTCACATTTAGCCGGCTATCAAGCATTTTGCGTCAATTTCCACATCGAAGATTGAATGCATTTTGATGAGATGAGAAGATTGATTGGGATGTGAGTAATAGTACTGTGCAGACAGTGGAAGGGTTAAAAAAAAAAATAAAACGTACAATTAAAAGAAACAACAAAAGATTTCCAATCTTCATTAGAAAAAGATTACATCATTAAAGATTGAGAAAGTTTTTAAATATATACGTTTGATCGTAGTGCTAGTGATTGAAAATAGAAGGAAGGAATGATAAATGAAGAGATAGAAAAAGAAAAATGCTAAAATTTATAGTTGGCAATTATAGGAACTAAAATAAACCGGTAACTTCTAGAAGCATACAAAGTATTGTTATGGATTGACAATTCTAGGATTATTAAATTGTTCTGATAACGGTTTCTGTGCAAGATTCTAAATAAGTAAGTGCAATTTTAATTTTTCGTACTTTCTGCAAGAAACTATTCTAGATTAGAGCTGATAATTATAAATGAAACATTGATGTAATGAAATTTTCTACGTGGATATACGTGAAATAAATTATTTGCTTTCGTTTATGTTTCTTTATGTATGACTTATTACGTTTTTTTTATCGTATGAAACGAAGATGTTTTCGTCTTTTTGCTAATGATTCTGAAAAGTTTCAGTTTAGAATGGCGAATAGTCCAACCGAAAAGCATGGATATACGAAAGATCGGAAGAAGGATGATGTTGATAAGACGAAGGATAGGGGAAGAGATGATGATAACGAAGAAATGAAAGAGGATGATAATGATGATGCTGCTTTGCTTTCACAGGCTATAAATGAAAAAGGTATGAAAGGTTAATAGGTGTTTAAATGAACAGTGTTGTGTTGTCTGTACATTATTTTCTATCAATATGTTAAAGTAGTAGTGTTTATTAATTACTGCAGTATTCCAATATGTGTTTCCGACTTGGTTTTTATTTTCTTCTCGATTAAACCAATGAATTTTAGATTGGAATGTTCCAAGTCAGCCTGATAAAACATCATTTTTGTCGGATACTTTGAGAGAGGGCCTTTTGAAACAATTTGATGAAATACCGTTTGCTGGTGATGCATATTTGCTAACACAAGAAGTAAGATGTCTCTTTCTTGCATTTCTTTTCCTTTAAAGTTTTTTAATACAAAATATATCATAATTCCGGTCAGCTTCGTCCAAATTTTCATAGTGACAATAGTTGAAGTGATAGTGTCAACTGATATGAAGCAACTGAAGCTACAGCAACAATGATAAGATCGAATGGATTAAACAAAAAGTTCTGACATCATAGCTTATTTAAAAAGATTCAAGTTTTTTTGATAATAAAGTAGTACTTTCTGAGATGAGTTGATATTGCAGATGGGCTTGATGTTATTTTATGAAGCGTAGAGTTTTTTCTTTTTTTGAAAACAAGGTTAATTTTTTTTCTCATGTTTACAAAATTATTCGGTTACTTTCAGATCAATAGGCTAAGAAAACAACTAGGTGATTCGCTTGGAGAAAATCAGATGCTGGTATATAAAGTCAGAAATTTGAATCGGTGAATTAATTTGTCTTATTTTCTGCCTTAGAATAACTCACTAATTTCGTTTGAATGAAGGAATTTTTGAAGTTTCACATTCCATCATTTTTGATTTCTGTAGGGAGAACGCATTGCTGCAGGATAATTTAATTCAAATACAGCAAACCTTCGAACAAAAATTTCTTGAGCAGAAGAATGACTTTGAAAAGACCGAGAGAGATATGCAAAATGTGATAACTTATCAAGTACGTTCGTTTACAAAAGCACGCATTAGTTTGAAGTGCAAAATTTTTGTTCACAGAAAAAATATTTGCCGTGTATTGCCTGAGTTACAGTTACTTTAGCATCACTCAAGATATGTGTGGTTCATAGTTTTGATGAAAGTGCTATTTTCAAGAGTTAGGGATAATGGAGGAGGAATTTTCGAATTTGGAGAACATTTTTGCGAAATATATATGGATCAGTTTTTAACTGAATATTAACATTAGGAGATGTACTTAAGTTTAAGTCTCATTTTTGCTTTTATAAACATCGAATAAGAAGCTTGCCTTATATGATAATCTGGACAGAATTGTATGCTAGATTCCAAAATGTTTTCAGGAACAAGATCTAAGAACCAAGGAATTTAGGAATCGTTTGAATAATACGGCATCAGTTACGGAAACTAATCATGCTGAGGTTTCTTTCACTTTTAAGTAGCTGTTAAAGTTGGCTGGGATATCAAAAAGTTATTTCTAGGAACCATTCAACTTATGAGTAAACGTAAATATACAAATACGGTTAATAATTTCATTATTTAATATTCCCACAAATTTTCTGTTAAAAGGTGCTATTGTATATATTTTTTCATGTGACGGAGCCAAGTGGCAGTGGACGTCAAGAACCACCTGTAATTCGACTCAAAAAAGTTTCTATACCAAGCTTCCAACGGGGAAATCGTTTCTCAAGAACTTGGAATGATTCTCCAGTATTACGAAAAGCTTTTGCTCACTGCAAATTAATTTTAAATGATACTTTTCATGCAATTGATAGTCAAGGAAAACGTATGTATTTTGCTTCCCCTATTCTCTATCGAGAAACTTTTTACCATCTGATCTATAACATTGTATTAATTTTATTTGCTTGGAATCAATTAATATTATAGAAATGAAATTTAGCTATTAACAATACTACGTTCATTCAACACGACACAAAGAGTAATCGAACTACGCAAACTTCACAGCAGGAACTGCAAATTTCGAATCCTAATTTATACAACTGTCTGGTATATCTCCGTCCAGACGTAAGTTTTTAAACTGTGATTCGTTATGTAAATTCAAATATTCTATTGTAGCTAACTTCAAAACCATTTTTATTGCAGAATCAGCTTGCTCAATTTTATGGCGCATGTGACGAAATAGTTACAATGGGCTTTCGCAATATTTCTTCAGAACTATTAAGAGACCGTAAATGGAAAACCACTCGGCTTATGCATGATATCCTTGTAGAACCACGAAAACGATGGTGTCGCTAATGAATTTTGTGTTTCACTATTTGTTAGTGTGAAACAAACATTTGACATATGTTTTAATCTGTTTCACCTTTTTGAATTTTTCCACTTTTGTATTCAAGTTCGTTCTGTCTGGTTATTTTTCCGTGAATTGCGTGGAAACATTTCATGCATTCATGGTTTTGCGTGTTATTTTACAATTTTGTTCATACAACTTTTTTTACTTGAAAACAAGCCTCCTGCATTACAATCAGTCTTTTTTAAAGGACATATATAGGATTCGTCTCAGATAATGAAATTTTTCTCACTTTTTGAATTTGTTATGAAACCAACCTGTTCCTAATAAAACCCGTTCTTCAAATTATTGTTCATAATTTCATTAAGCTCTATGTTCTCATCCTTCTAATGGTCTCTGTTTCAGAAGTTCTGAGCCATTTTGTCTTCGATGTATATGTGCATTTATTTTTTGGTTGCCAACCGAATTGCTTCTTTTCCTCGAATATCACTTATTTGAAAATTTATATTGTCCATGTGGTTACGAATTCTTTTCGTGGAAAGTTATGATTGTGTAATGGCTCATTTACTTCACTTATCTTTTCTACAGTGGATATTCTTTTTGACCTTGCTTATGTTTAGTTCTTGCTCACATGCTTATATTTTTCCGTTATGTCATGTCGAATAATCAGTCCTCCTTGCAATTACGCATTTGTCATGATATCCAGGAAAAAATTTTGCTGGAAGTGGAGATATGAGTTGCACAACGTAATTTTTTCTTCACATCAATGAAATTTGAAAATTATGATTGCTATAATAGTAGAAATTTTAGCTGATTTTCATGTTGAGAAGATTCTATGGATTGAAAGACAGTGTGTGTAAACTTGAATTTAATGAAGGAATAAATCTTTGCATTACACCTCCGAATTTATAAAATAGACAAAATACTAGAATATTGGCACTGAAATATGTGTTATATATTTATTATAATTGAAAATATTTGTTAATAGGATATTACTATGGAACGTATTGCATTACACTTCACTAATTACAGATAATATTTGTCATCTTTGAACTTATTAGTTGCATCGATATGATGCATTGGGAAGAATTTACCGTTGTCCGCTTCTTTGACGTATCAGTGATGAACATTGTATTACACATACTGTATCCTGTAAAAAAAAAAAAAAGTTGCATCCTTTAATGTAAATTAGGAGAAATTTGTAGGATTCTGTGAAATAATGAAAAATTTTTAGGAACTTTTAAGACAGAAAGAACAAGAAGAGAAGAAAAAAAAAAGACGAGTATTTACGTACAGCTATCACTTCTGAGAAAAGATATTCGGTTAACAGTGATTCGCAACGATCAATCACCATCGAATGACATTCTGGCTAAAATTTTCCTTTGTTTTGAAAGATGATTTAATTTGAAAGATTTAAAATTTTCATTTTCCATCATTAAACAAATTTCAAATGTATTGAACATTTCAAACGTACTCCTTCAGCGGTACATGTGCACGTAATACATGGTGTTATACGTTTTGTCCTTCCCAAATTGATAACTCGATGATCCACCACACAAAATTCTAAAATCAAATTTCATTTCTTTTGAATGCCTTGCTTAAATTTCTGTGAGTTAAAAAGCAAAATGAAAAGTATGATGAAAATTTTACGTCGATCAAGCCATTCATAAAGGTCAATGTCCGGTAATTCAGAGCATTTCATTGGTGCATTCCTGAAATTAAATATTTAATCGTATCAGCGCATCATTTTGAATGTTAAGTTTTAATTATTGATAGTAGATCGGATATTAGTTTAATCGGTTAAGAATTTTTATCAAAAATGGAAAAATTCAATTGATAAGTGATTTCAAAATTAACAATAATAAATAATTTGAAAAAGATAAAATTTAAACAAACGAAACGTTAAATCGTCCGGCATGAGAAATGCATTTGGTTGAATGTGTCGTGCATATTGACTGTTTGCGCAAATAAGTTTACTTAATGTTGTTTTCCGTATTTCGGCTAATTGATCTGGAATCTAGATATTTCATTATCAAATTTCTATAATTTAATTATTCCGGAATAAATTATGTGGGCAAATTGTGATTATCCATATTTTCATATTTTCAATAAATTTTATTCCGAAAGTTATGTGTTAGAAAAGAATTTCACTTGCTTTACCAATGCTGTAAGTCTTATACTTCTTGCAATTTGTGGTAATTTTAAAGAGTTAGGTTGAAATTTCTTTTAGGCTGATGTACTTACAACAAACATGTATACATTAGAAAAATCATTAAGGTCAAGTTACTATTATTAGACTTTATGTATCTCAGAAAATATTCTCAAATATACAATTCAGTATTTTGTTACTATTTCTCTTTTGGAAAGTTTCGATCGTTTTACGGAGACTAACTGTCTCTCTAAAAAAGAATCAAAAAAATGGAGAGATTGAGATATTTTGCTAGAGGAACAAAAGTTTGTCTTATAAAAAAGTTAGTCAAAAGTTTGTCTTATAAAAAGAACAAAAGTTAGTCTTATAAAAGTTTGTCTTATAAAAGTTTGTCTTAATCCTACACAATCATATATGATAATGATAAGAAAAAGTTTAAGATGAAAATAAATTAAAATGCGAATTAAATCGACCTTTAACTAACAATGATGAATTTTTTCAATTAACTCTCATCACCAATCTATTGTCATTCGATATATCAATTATTATGAAAGTAACAAACCTGGCGTAAACCTTGTTGCCGGATTATCATTTTCGTAATAGAATCGATCGCAACGTTTTAATCGTTGAAATTGTTCACCAATGATACATGTCAACATCGGTCCAAC